TGTATGAACAGCAAAATTAGTAGCTCATGCACAACTTGATGATGACAATGATAAATCTCACCTGTTCTAGATTCTAATGCTCTTGCACATACAGGTCCATTTACAGAAACGCCACCAGAAGGCCAAACATGGTTGACCACATCACATGGAAAGTCCTAAAAGCCCTTACATAGAGGTGTGGACAAATGTCACAAACAACAAAAAATAAAGATGACAAACATCACAGACAACAAAGTTAAGATACTATATCACTGAAAGAAATCCTGCGACGTCCTGGGAGCAGGTGTGTGGGAAAATTTCCCAGAATGCACTGGGACAATGGAATTTAAGACAAGTCTAATTTGGCATTTTTCTCCATAGAGTGGGACACATGATGTTTGTTGGTATGCTTAGAAGAAGAATTTTCAAGCACAAGAAAAACAAACAAATTGATAACTTTTATGTTTTTTTTGATTTTATGCGTATAAATGAGCGTATGCACGGATAAATGAGGCCCCTGCTGTTTTTTCAAAAAGTTCTGCATCCAGAACACAAGTAAACGGTTAAATCTCTTCTTTATCCAGTTTCTTGTGGATGAGAGGCCACAACAGAGAGGAAGGAACAGATGTGGTTTCAAATTTAGCCAGCTTAGCGTGGAGAAGGCATGACCCTGCTATTTATTTATTTTTTTCTGTAGTCAAACTCTCCCCACTCTGTCTTATACTAGCAAAGCGGATTTTGCCACAATATTTTCTTAATGGGAAGCAGCAAAGACTGTTAAGAAGTGGTGCTTGTGAAGTGTCACATCAGGTGTCATCATCTTATGTGTCATATAAAATATGACAAATTGGATTTCTTTCAGGCTAGACCACAGTGCTGCTATGTGGAAAATGTGTGACCCACAATTTTTGTCCCATGAAATTTTTGCTAATTTTTTGTGTATTTGCTTACATCCTGTCACAACAATCTGGATTTTAATCTTTTGTTTCTTGTTAGTGTAACAGGCTTTTCAACCCTTTTCAGCCTCTCACCCTATTTCCTTGTTCCCTGACAAACAGCAGAGAGAGGTAAAGGGGTCTACCTTCTGTCCCCCCTCTCCATTAGTTCATTAGTATTCAGGAAGTGTTGCCTGCCTGCTTGCTGCCCGCCACTCATTCCCTAGACAGCGAATCAGCCAGCGTTGATTAATTTCAGCCTATTAGCACCCCTCGTTCCCCTCCCCCGGCTCCGCCCAGGTTAAATCCCCGTGCACACCCGCATGCACGCTCATAGGCGGGGGGTGATGCTGGGTGAGCGATGGCAGAGAGGTTGCCAGGGAGCCAGTTGTTGTCAGAACGATATTAATGAGTGCGCTGCTCAGGCCCTAAGAGTGTGTGTGTAGATGTGTGTGCCAGTGTGTTTGTGTTTACGTGTGTCTGAGTGTGCGTCTTTAATTATGGTGTTTGTATGCCAAGTGAAAGCAGGTCCTGTGTGTGTGTGTGTGTGTGTGTGAGTGTGTGTGTGTGTGTTTGTGTGTGTGTGTGCTGTAGGATGGGTTTGTATTTAGTAAGAGTGTATGTTCAAACATGCTGGCAAATGTCCGTCTATACATACATGCTTGTAGGGGCTGTTTTTGTGTGTCTGTCTGTAGTTGTGTGTGATATCCAGCAATGCCATGGCCTAAGGGACAAGGGCTTATGTGTGTACGTGTGTGTGTGTGTGTGTGTGTGTGTGCTCTGCGGAGGCCTGTCCTAGTTTCCTTCCCCTCACCAGGGAGCCGGAGGATCCAAGGACTGACGCACATCACCTGACAGCCGCCCCACTGCTCCACGGCCCTGCACCGTGTGTGTCTGTCTGTGTGTGTGTGTGTGTACGTGATGGAGATGGAGTGTCTGAATTTGTGTATGTGTGAGAGGATACATGTGTGCAATAGAGAGAGATGTGAGAATGTGTTAGGAAATCCATCAGTCGGAGCATCATTCCATGTGTGTGAGCGCTCATATGTATGTCGATGTGTGTTTGTGTTCATAGTTGGAGAGTGAATTTTGGTGTACTGATCCCTTGAGGGGTGTGTGTGTGTGTGTGTGTGTGTGTATACCTTGGGGCAGAGTGGGGAAAAATGGTGTCACATGAAGCTTGGAGACAACAGAGTTAACTGCGCTCTACTTAACCTTTGTATGGACTGAGGCTGTGTGGACTGAGAACGCATCACCTGGGCTGTATGACGCAAACACGTAAAGTTATTTTACTGGAACTGTGCTACATTAACAGAACACAGTATTGTAAATCACTTAGACACGTCATAATTCAACAGGACTGTGCTTTATGCAGCACTTTGTACACCTTACTGTTGACTGCTACCTTTAGGCCAGTGCCAGTTACAAGCCATTCACACTGAGGCATGTTTCTCAGGAGAAAACCCGTCTCTGCCTCTTGTGGCACGCTTCTTGTGTTTTCAGTGCGGCTTGCATTTCTCTGAATGAAACCTTAACCTAGTGTCCATTGTCTAACGTGTTTAACGGCAGGTTTCTTTAGAAGTGAATTTCTCCAATTTCATTTTATAGTAAAGCTGCCCACCAACTTTTCTGTTGCTGTTGTATTTAGCAGTCCGCTACGTCAGTGTGCCACAGCAGAGAAACATTCTGTTTTCAGATCATATCGACTTCCTTTTAATCCTGCAAATGTCTACTTGTCTTATTCACGTCTTATAGATGACTTTCGAATTCACCCTTAAAATATATCACTGTACTAATAAAATTATTAAACAGTACCTATACTGGAATACATCAAAAAGACTTCATACTGGTCCATACTGCTTATATGGCCGTAAAATGATGCAGTAACACTGAATGAATTAATGTGTGATTTATGCATTAGGTTGCAGTTTCATAGCAACCGGATTCTATAGCAGCACTGGTGCTAACAGGGAGAGTCCAGGCCCTTTGACCAACATGGTTGATAGTGTGCCCAGAAGTGAATCCTGCAGGAACTTTTTGCTATAAGAGGTTTCTATCTGAGCCCTTTCAAAGCAACTGACAAAATTTGTTTGTGTTTTTTGTCTCAATTTGGTTTGTTTGAATCAATGTGGTCATTTCTGTCATTTCTTGCCAATCTGGATGTTTTGCTGAATTTTAAGTGACATTTAACTTTGTTTAATCAGTAGCTTGATCTGTTTAAGCATGCAAAGCTCTTTTTCTGCATTAAAAACAGATGTTCTCACCTTTTTACTATGTCTATGAAACAGAGATGCTGCTGATTACAATTGGAGACCTCAACATATGACGTAGTCCCTGTGTTGTCTTTATAAATTCTGTTGAGTTTGAATCACTAAAAGAAAGTTGATGGTATAAGAAGCAAAAGTAATTATAGTTGTTATACATAGCAATAGTTTGGGGAAATGTGCTTATTTGCTTTTTTGTCGATCGTTAGAAGACTCCATGCCAACAAATGAAGCTACTGCCAGCTGCTGGTTAGCTTAGCTTAGCATAAAGAGAAACAGGAGGAAAGGGCTAGCCTGGTTCTTATAACTTATAACTAACACGTTATATCTCATTTGTTTAATCCATACAAAAACTAAGGTGTTGTTCCTGGCAGTGTTATAATTAGTGAGCTTTAAAGGTGCTGTCAGAGGGATAGCTGTTTCCAGTTTCTAAGCTAACTGGTGTAGGCATCACAGCACCCAAAATAAGTCTTAAACAAAACTCCTTCATAATATTCCCTGTCTAACTACAATCAGCAGCGGAAACAGTAGAGTTTTTCAAAGCGTCTTTGAGTTGCAAAGTCAAACTCATTTAGAAGCTGAACTTCTGTCTACACTTGAATTAGCCATCTGTCTCTCCACAACTTTGATACCATCTATTTTTAGAAGGTGAAGGGTCACATTTGATCATTCGTAAAATATCCATAATCACATATTTTAAATCTCCTGTGACCACTACAGTCCATACCTTATGAGAGGCTGATAGCATATTCATAGTCACGTTGGCCTATAGGTGCGCACACTCACACGCCTGTGTGCTTTATTAAAAAAAAAAACTGTCATGAATATCTTATAGGCTGCTAATGCTGTGTGATACATCAGGATCTGAACACATTAAAGTTTTAAAGGCACATTTGACTGGCAAAGAAAGAAGGATTAGGAGAAGGACCGAGAGGGGCGGTGAGAGACAAAGAACAAAAGAAAGTGACTTTAAAGCAGAACAGTCGTAGTTTTATATTTGTACTTTTTATAGTTTATTTCTGTAAGTGGCTGAGATATTCTGTTATCAATTTCATGCTTGGGCTGACAGGTCAGACACGTCAGAATAAAAGAAAAGATGCAAACAAAGGAATGTAAGCTTATGGAAGACTAAAGACATTAGGAAAGTAATCGAAAGCCCTGCTGCCGTATTAGATGAGCTATAGATTAACAATGTGTGTTTTCAATAATTAAGTATATCCAATCTACAGGGTTGTGTGGCTGAAGGGTTTTGAGTTTGACCCTCTTATCTCTCTCTCTCTCTCATAATATTGCTGATCTGCGAGTTTAGAGTATGAGTAGTTTTAGTTAGTCCCTGTCCCTCTGTCCTTTACTTAATACTGCTGACCTATGAGTTTGGCCTCGTCTCCACAGAGGCATACCTCCCACCTGAAACGTGTCTGGGCGGTCCTGGTGCTGCGTCAGCGTTGGTGTTTCACATATACGAGGTCGTGACCCTGCAGCCTGGAATACACTTGTCTTCATCTGACTGATTACATATTAACACCCTGGGAACACACACACCCGCAGTCATTGTGGTTGAATGGTCCTTTGACCCGCGGTAAGGGGTGAGTTGTTCGCCCAGTGGTTGCAGGGACCTCCCCCAGTTCATTAATACATACATTAATACAACAGATCAGAGCTAAAGCACCCTCAGCTTCTTATCGTTTCCACTCTCATCTTCAGCCTCCTTTCCTCTCCTCTGTCGAAAAACACACTACCCACCAATATAATCTGTATTTTTAAAACGCTGAGATAAATTAAATGTGTTTTTCTCGTCCTTTGTGTCCTTGTTCTGCTTCAGGAAAGCGACTCCAGGAGTGGATGTGTGTGATTCTGTGCCTCTTCCTTTTCATCATCAACTTCTCCTTCCTCCTCCTGCACTTCTCCACCGTTCACATCTACAAGATCATCCTCGGCATCGGTGAGCTGGCAGTCCGAAAGACGCTGTGAAACCGAGCTAAAGATAAAACTTCCCACTCTACACACGTCACTTTAAAACAACCTATCACAGTTACTGTGAGCAGTGGTGGAATGTAACTAAGTGCATTTGCTCAAGCACTGTACTTAAGTACAAACTCGAGGTACTAGTACTTTACTGAGTATTTCCATTTTATTACTTTAAACTACTACTCCATGGCATCTCAGAGGCAAATATTGTACTTTTTACTCCACTACTTTTGTCTGACAGCTTCAGTTCAGTGGGCTTTATTGGTATGAATGTTTTATTTAAACATTGCCAAAGCAGTTTGCAACAATATCAAAAAACGTTTACATTTGAATGTGACATAACATTTAGTTACTAGTTACTTTTCATGGAAACCATATATCTCAAAATGTGGTAATTTTGAATGTGAATTTTTCTGATAAACTGAAGGATGAAGTGTTCCTTTAGGAGTTGAGAAAATGATCCTACTTCTTAATCTAAATAAGCTAGTGAAACTGACCTAAGATCAGCTGGAAACAGGACTGTTTTTCTGAGCAGCGATGCTACAAACATATGATGACCTTATGGAATATGATGCATCTATCTATCTATCTATCTATCTATCTATCAATAGTAAAACACTGACAGGGAACATTTACTGCACTATGAGTACTTAAATATGGTTTGCTTGCTTTTGCTTGTATTGGAGTATTTTCTCAGTGTGATATTCCTAGTTTAGAAGTATATGAATACTTCTTCCACCACTGACCGTGACAAAGTTTTTTTTTTTATAAAGCATTTTTTGTAAAGGTTGGAAAAACATTTTTTTTCTAAACAATTCAGTGTAGTCCCAAACCATTGTTCCAGTCCACATGAGGTTTTTAACGCTTTTGTAAAATTGTGTTTTGGTTTTTGCTTGCCAATCTAATAACAACATATGTTATCCCTTTTTTTCTCGTGTCCCTTTCTGTGTGTGTGTGCCAGTCCTAGGAATAGTGACAGCAGACTTTGCATCGGGGATGGTCCACTGGGGGGCGGATACCTGGGGATCTGTGGACATCCCTATTATTGGCAAGGTGAGCACACATACATGCTATACATGGCAGACAGTGAGGCTGCATTAAACAGCTTCTAATTTGCCTTTAATTAACTGTACAAAGGAAAACCTACTATGCCTCTCTTTCCCCTGAAATCAAAATTCGGCCACAGCTGAATTGGCACATTGACACCAGCCCTAGAAATGCTGGTGCTACAATCAGTCTGAATGTCTTATTTTTGTTTTGTTCTTTTTTTGGGGGGGGGGGGGGGGGGGCATTTTGCCTTTATTTGACAGTGTAGCGGGAGACATGTCCCCCCCTCTAGCTTTTTGGGATGTAGCTGTTTAACTTTTAAATGTGTGTTGACAAACTCCTATTCCTATTTCTATCCCTGGGTCAGGATAACTGCATAACCCTCTGTAAAACCATCTTGGGGATCCACTGTATATTTCATATTTTATTTTCATCACTTGCATGACAATGTCTGGCAGCTGAAAGGGATTTGCCTTTGAAGAATATGTAAGACTGTAGTGAACATTTCTGTAACCCAGTGAATTATAGACTACAGAAAAGCTACTGCAGGCTACCGTACCAGTGTCCCCTCTCTCGTGAGGCTGCATCACCATGGAAGCATGGTGGTGCACCTTATCCCCCTGAGCCTCAGGACAGCCTTAGTGAAACTAAATGTCACTGTCTCACAGAGGGATCTCCCTGTAGATAGTAAATTCCATGGTCCCCAAAACACACATGACACACGGCCACACAAACACACATACCAACACATGCTGAGAATGGCCTCACCTCGAACCTCCACATCCTGTCACCATACAGTGCCAGAGGACAGGTGTGCACATGTGTATCAGAATCAGAAATACTTTATTGAAATTCTTGTGTTACAGTTGCTCACTTTGCACATCAAGGCATTAAATGAATAGAAATAATAATATAAAGTTAGCAAGTAGAACATATAAAGAAAATAAACCAAACAATATAAATATAAAAAGTGGAGTGTGGAAATATGTATCGTATATTACGGTATATGACTGACATGTAATGACAGATAATAAATAGTGATAATAATAATGACAACTGATTGCAAAATTGCAGTGTTGGACAGAGTGAACCAGAGTATTGAAACAGAGAATATTGCACATTAAGCATTAGTATTGCATGTAGGCATGCATAAAGGTGGATGCACATACACTTAATTCTAGCATTAAAACACGTCACCTACTTTAATGAACACACACATACATTTTGCCAGATTTCCTTCAGCCAATTACAGTAAAGGTTATCCTCATTTCAGCCAATTAATATCTCTGTGAGCAGGTGCAGCTTGCAGATTGGTTAATCTGAACTTTGTTTTGATTGATTGGGAGTGTTCAGTCTGTGTGTGTGTGTGTGTGTGTGTGTGTGTGTGAGACCTGAAGCATCCTAATTAAAACGACCGTTATCGTTTATGCTGAACCCATATATTATCATTCTATGATTAATAATGTTCTTTTTCACCATTATAATTGAAATGAATCTTATATGTCACAGGAACCTCCTACTACTACAACCTAGAAAGGAAAGGCTTTTTATGAAATTTAAATATGTCCATATATACTATATGATCATAAAAGTTTTAAAAGTCTGTTATGTTGTGTGTGTAACAACACTTTACTCTAAACACACATGTAGAGTCCACTTTGTAAATGCTTTATTAGATATCAGAAGTAAAGCCTCACTGACTCTAATCCACATAATTATTTAAATGGCTAATGTGTGTGTCCCTGCTGGATATAAGCCGGTACTTACATATGTTTATATGGTAAACATGTGGAAGTACAGACTTGACCATTGCAGTCTTGAAAGTGCCCACTACTTGAGTGAAAATAATTGGATGTGACTAATGTCTGTAATATCAGTTTTTGTAGTGCCTTCCAAGCAGATGGATCTGCCCACACAACAGCTCTTTTACTAAGCTCTGTTTTACCCTCAGACAGCTGCAGGGTGTGTTGAAGTATTTTTTTTTTTTAATGAAATCACTAATGTAATTACTCACTTTTTTATACCACACGTATGCTTTCTCAGCCCATTGGAACAGCTACTATGCTGCGTACTATTCAAGGTTGTTCATTTGTCATTATTATTATTATTGCGTCTGGGGAGAATGTAAATAGCAGCAACAAGATGATAATATGGTTGCATCTTCACATAAAAAAGTCTGACATTTGGGAAACGGTGTCCATCTTGACTGCGTTTAAGCACCGAGCACGATCGAACAAAACACAGTCACCTCCTCTCATCTTGCACTGACAGCTGAGGACATGGACCACCCTCTGCTTTGATAAGCAGTCTCTGTAACGAAATCGGGTCGGATTTTCTGCATGCGCACTCCTGAGCCTCTTGCCTACTGATTCACACAGCAACAACATCGTAGCTAACAAAATGGGATCCGCTAACACCAAAAAACAGCCGGCTCCCAGCACAAAACAGACTCTAACACAAACTCCATGTAAGGATAAAAAGAACAATACATTTTAATGTGTGCCAAACGAGAATCAGATTGACGTCGGGCAAAAACTCCACATCAGGAGGTGTTTGAGTCATGTAGAGACCTCCACTTTATTTTGGATATAAAAACCGACCCAGAGCTTTCATCCTAACGGACGGGTAAACTAGCATTACTGCAAAGCAAGAAATAGATTGTGATTTTGTGTTTTTGTTGGCTCAAGTTAGATCACGTTAGCTTGCTGGCTAATACCGACCAGTTGCTGACCTTATTTGTTGCAAAATACTATAGTTGTAACGTTATGGCTTGACACATTGCCACATTACACCAGCTAACGTGATCCATATTACTAGCACAACACCGGTTTCAGTCGCCGTAACTGACGTGAACCACATGATATGCAATAATACATAACATAACAATAATACTTAACAGTGCAGGATAACAACGCAGTGGAAGACAGTTACATTAATGCTTTTTACTGCAGTCTAATAAATATTACTGTGACGATGCAATGGGAGTTTACCTGAGTTTCCAGCATTGCATTTGATGCCTTCTCTTGTTGTGTCGGTCTCTGTTTTGGCTGAGTGCTAGCTCGCTCATTAGTTTGAGTATACACACGAGCACAAGCTTGGGAAGGTAGTGGTTGCAATCGGAAACCTCACTTCTAGAGGCCACTGAAAACTGAAGGCCACTTTAAGTGTTTACCGAGGGGAGATTTACAGATTACAAAAATAGAACACAGAACATCAATTGTCAAAGTGCAAAACATTATGTTAATAACACAAGTGACCAAATAACATCAGCTAGGTTAGCATAATATTTTACACTCATTCCAAACTGCACAAATACCACTAACTGTATAACACACCTGTTTCTGGATGTATGCTCCTTTTACAACTTTTAATACCTCATTTAGCTTCCTAGAACAGTCATTTTGGAAGTTTGTGATGCTACCGTGACTCCCTGTTTACATTGCTTTTGATCAGATCCGCTACAGATGTTTCCTAGCAACCCATTTACTTACTACTAATATTTAAGTCAGAGTCAGAATCAGCTTTTATTTCCAGGTATGCAAAATTGCCACAGACGAGAAATTTGACTTAGGATTGTACATTGTTCACGATGTGCTTACTTATACAATAATACAATAATATAATCAGACACAGGCTAAAGTATAGAGAACACATATATACACACTATAAACAAAAAAAATATAGACAGATTGAGACAATAGTGCAATGAGCAGAGTGCAAAGGATGCAGGAGTAAATTATTATTATATTAGTAGTAGTATGTACATGTCGGAGATGGATGAGACATACAGGTACACATACATGCATACATGTACACATGTACACTGTGCGATAGCATAGTGCAAAGGATGCTGGAATAAATAAGTATTATGTGCAGGTGTTATGTACTGGAGGTAGGTGGATTTGGTACACAGGATATACAGTAAGAACAGCTCTGAAATAGAGAACGAGAGAATGATGAATAAATAATCGGTAAATCTTTATTTGCAAAGACAGTTTTGAAGTTTTAATGGTGCAACCCGATTTAACAAATCACTAGTTTGAAACGAGCCAGTAGTTTCTGAGAATTTAGGAATGACTTTACAAAGAGAGAGCAGGCGCTGGCTGTAATTTGACACTGACGATGATGAAAGTAAAATATGGAGGAAAATACGATGGAAAGCATAAGCATTACAGCCAGTGGTAAACCTTATGCTCGAAGGCAAATCTAATATTTTGGGGGGCTTCTTCCACGCTAAAATCCCGTTTTGGTTTCTTTCTCTTTTACTGTCAACCTAACCCTTTAATGACAAACCATAATCCTGCGGGCACTTAAATGTATTTAAAGGAGGAGACAAAAACTGTATTGGGTAGGACACTGACAGCTTTGGATTTAGTGAAATGTACTTCCAGATTGACTGGGATTCAAAGTGAGCATTTATGGAATCAAATTAAAAGCAGCTTGTAAATTAGTTACAAAGGCACAAAACAGAGCCACTGTTAACAGCTTAATAGTGAGTGGCAGCATACAATTTATTTACATAGTTTTACTTGTTAGCCTCTAAAATGGTAATATTTCATTTAATAAGCCATGGTTATTAATATTTCCACACAGGAGACTGTTTGAGGCTTTGAGAAAATATGATAATAATATAATATTATAAAGAGTACAGTCTAGACCTGAGCATGAACTGAATGAGTCCCATTACTGCAAAGCAGTCTGACAGTAAGTTGCTCTGGATACCACATAATCTGTTTAGTGTTGAATGAATTCTAATAGTTGATGCCATTCTTTTTAGATTTGATGTTGATTGGGCTTTAATGTAATATTTTTTTCTCTGACTGTTATCCTATCAGGGTGTGACATCACTGCAGGTGAACCTAGTGTGTTTTCTCAAGGAGGATTATTTTGTTGCCACATGGTGTTGTTTTAGATAACAACACATTTTTGTTCACGCGTTGTACCATCAGACTCTAAGCGACGGTTTTCCGAGCCCTGTGCTACTTTTTGCGCTTGCTGAAGGTACTGTGTGGTTTGATGTTTATTTATTGTGTGGGATGATTATTGGGGTTTGGGGTAGTTACTGGGACCAAAGGCACGGCGGCAGTCACAGATTTGCATGGTGTGTCGGACACTGTTGGAGACTTCTAATAAAGACTTTAGCTGCAAGAGCAGAATGGACCTTTGCAGAGAGCACAGGGATGACAATGGGCTGTTGGAAAATAAAGTGTGTGCTTGCATGTGTGTGGAGACAAAAATAACAACAATAACAAAACAAGGCATACACCGCAGTTGTGTTTTGTGCCTGTGTGTGGTGTGAGACTGAGAATAAAGCAGGCCTGTGCTCCCAGTTAAGGTTAGTTTGAATATCAAAGGCGAGCACGATGGAGAACACCTGAGGCTAATAGCGGTTGCAGTTATAAAGCTAGACAAAATATTTAAAGCCTCTCTTTGTGATTTGTTTGTTCTGTAATATTATGTTGTTTTTGTATATATAAATGTACTCCGTGTACATGTGTATGTCCTCACTTTGTTCCCTGTTGTCGTTATTTGTAAAAAGACGGTGCTCAGATTGTACTATAGACACATTCATGCAGACACCCCACATGTTGTCTGCACATATGGACTCCTGCCTTCCATAACTTCATAAGAGTGCTGTCAGCGTATCATAAATAATATTTCCAGCAGTGAAGGCCAAGGAGCAGTAACACCTGCCATTGGAAACTGCGTTTTCTATGCATCAAAGTAATTGGCTCAGTATGGCCAGTATGGTCTGCAGGATCTTAGGGAAACAAGGTCACTGAAGGAGCGATTAATATGTTCCATTTTTTGAGGGTTTTTGATTTGCACATATAAAGTGAGACATGAAAAAACAAGCCAAAAATATCAGACTTCTGGCTGGTCAATATCTAACTAAAGGCACAAATCAGAAAAGTTGTTATATCAAGCAAAACTGCTCATAGAGAAGGAAACTCAGCTTGATGTTGCTTTGCTTCTTTGGCACTAATCATGTCATGCTGCCACCTCCCATTGCATACCCCCACTTCACCAGAAAGCCCCAAAAAATTATGGTTTGATTCCAGACGGCTGACACCCCATTATTTCATGACACCGAGCTCTCTATCACCAAGGCTACTGATCAAAACAATTTTAAAAAGCCCACAAATACCATATTAATTGGGAAGCAGTGAGGAATGTATCGGAGTTACTGGTCCAGAGTTAATTATGTAATCTTCTCATGTCCCCTTGAATATATTTGCATGAAGGGTAGTAAGTGGAAAAACTGTACTGATTTACATTGTATTTTGACCAAATTTCAGAAACAGTTTAATGGAAACACAACTATTGTCCGCCCCTTTTGAAGTGAGTGAGTCTCTGAAAATCTGAGACAGTTCCAACATACTGACATTAATGTTAATTTTCAGTACCGAATTAATGTGCTGATTAATTGTTAAGTCTATGAAACAGCAGAACTTCCCAGAGCCCAATGTGTCCTGTCCAAATGTCTTGTATTGCTCAGCTCAAGACCCAGAGATTTACAGTGAGTTATGACATAGAAGAGCAGCAAATCCTCAAAGAATTTTACTCTGCTTATGCTCCTCATGCTAGAAATTGTATAACACTGATTTGCTTTGATTTGAATCCATAAAAGCCATTTCACTCCCCCAGTTCTAAAGCAGCAATACTATCTTAAAAAGTGCACTACAGTCTCCCTGTAGTGTCTAGAACTATTCCTTAGCGAGGCTTTGGGCCGTGCTGTTTTTTGTCGTCATCATGTCGTTGAGCTTTAATTGACTCAACAAGGATTTAGCAGTCCTCTAATGACACCACTTTGAGGACAAAGTCACGCTCATTAGTTCCCAATGATGCTCGATTCACATTGAAATTTGCCAGATGTGCTTACAGTTTAGGGATATATGTTTGAAGATCCTTCCTCTGTTTCTCTTCTGCAGTCTTTTAAAAGCAGCATTTCCCGCTGTCTTTTTGTGTTACATTTCTAACAAACATGTCTGTTTTACAGCTACTCTTTGATTAGGCTGATTAGAGTGTCGAAGTAAAGGTAAGTTAATTGAATGACTTAAGTCAGTTTCTACTTAAACGCCAGAAGGGAAAAAGGGGGAGTGATTATAAGATGAAGGCATAGAGAGAGAGAGAGAGAGAGAGAGAAATGGGGGGGTGACCAACAAAAAGCGAGATGAAAATATGGTATAAAGGTCGTGAGGACAAAAAAAAAAGCAAGGGGGTGGAAGGGCGTGTCCCTCCAACCAGTGGGACAGCGTCAGTTGCTGGGGCGATGGGCGATGTGAGCTGGTGATTAATGGACAACGTGCGAGGCGGGCCGTTAAACGGTGTGGGATTAGAGGACATGCAGCGACCGGTGGCCCACCGTTAACTGGGAGCGTCGATGCCGCCCCGCTCTGCATGACCTCCGCGGCTTAGCCGGGCTTTCATCTAGCTGAGGGCTGCAGCAAGAGGAGGGGTTGATGGGAGAGGAGAGGTGGGGGGAGAGGCAGACAAGAACAGAGATGGGGACATAATTGTGAAGATATCAACAGATAGTTTCTGTGTTTGTAGTGGCACCTACCAACAATGTGTGCTGGTAGGCGTGTGTGATTGGTTCGAACAGCTAACGCGACAATAATGAGTTTTCATGCTGATGCTTCCCCGGCTGTACATACACACACACGTACACTGTGGAAATACAGATGCAAACCTTCCCTTTTTGCTTCTACCACAGAGGGAAATAAATTACGTTTATCCTGTGTGTGCATGTGTGTGCGTGTTTCTTTTTGTCCTCTTTTGTGCTTCTGAGATTCAGATTCAGCCTTTCATTTGAGACCCCCATGCTCTCACAGACAGGTGTCTGCCTCTGCACAGTGCAGGTGTGGTGTGTGTGTGTGTGTGTGTGTGTGTGTGTGTTTTAAGCTTACATTTTTGAGTTTGTGTGGGGCATCCATGGGTCATTTATGCTTATGAGTGTGTTTCCACAAGCCCACTGCTGTTCTGTGGTTTATTAGGATGCTGGATATGAGCTTTGGGGTTGCGCATGTTGCTGGGCACCACTGAGTTGTGGGGTGTGTGTGTGTGTGTGCACATATTTGATCTGCATTTGTGTAAAGACTATAAACATTGCTTTTTGTTTTATGATGTAAAGTGAATGTAAATTAAGTAGAGAAATTTACCCGTTAGTGTTTTTGTGCCGTGTTCCATTTAGCATAAGCTGAATATGTTTAACTGAGAGAGCTGGAAGCTAGAAACTGAAGAAAATTTGCTGTTTTACTAAAATTATTTTATTTTGCTGTCAATTTTAAATTCTGTTTCTGTTCTGCAAGGCTGGTTTCAATTGCATTTCTAATTTCAACAAAATCGACGACGTGGCTTTTTCTGATATAAAATTATTTCAAAATAAAACTGTCAATTGTTGCTCTGGCAGAATTGATTAGGTGTTGTTTCCGTAGTTCTACAGCTCTGTCTTTTGTGCTTCAGCCTTCAGACTGGTGCACTTTTTTAAGCTTTTACTGAAAACAGGACTAACATTTCAGTGCTGTCCGTTTCAGTAAGTCTCCATTCCTGAGGCTGCTGCTTCAGAGGTTATTAGAAATTACTACTTTGTGAATTTTGCAACCATAATTTCTCTGTCTCTCTCTCTCTCTGCAGGCATTCATTCGTCCATTCAGAGAGCACCACATCGATCCAACCGCCATCACTCGCCACGATTTCATTGAAACTAATGGCGACAACTGTATGATCCCCATCCTACCACTGGCTCACATGGCGTACAAGTTCCTCACATACACACCAGGTAGCACACACAGTATTTATTTTCCTCCACTTGTTGCCCAGAAAGCACGCACACATACAACAGAAAAGCATAAAAAAAAACAGGAGACACACACATGGCAGCTATGACATTTCAGAAGGAGGAGAGACAGGAGAGGCGTGAAACCTGCTGTCTGTTGACCATGAAAATGAGGTTGACAAAGCTCTGGTATTTTGTAACCTGTAAGAATGTTCCCATTCATATTGTTATCACATGTGAGTGAGAAGCGTAGGGGGCGTGACTCCTGCAGAGGTTCGAGCTATACTCCCAAGATATCACACCCTCTTCACCCATCAAAGCAGTGAGAATCACAAGTGGTGCAATGTGGATGTGATCCCTCACTGGGATCTATGCCAACATGCTTTCAGTCACATACAGCTGTAATGTGAATGTAAGGACTTTACAAGGGCAACTTTACAGGGTCTAACAAACTGCAGCAGTGACTTAGTGTTACGGGGCGCCAAAGGTAGCACGGACTCTGGCTGAAGTGTGTCCACTGATTATGGGAAAGCATGGGGCTGGTTGGCTGGTAATCATGTGCACTGACCTTACGAGTGCAGGGCAGGAGGGGGAGGGACTGGAGGTGGGAGATCAGCAGGAGAAACAGAGCAACCGGTTATTGAGGAGGTGACATCTCCACCTGTCATGTCTGCGCTTCTATTTAAGCCAAAAGGTCACTGACATGTACTAGAGGAGGGGGAGGGCAGTTGACATCAGCTAGCTAGGTGAGAGGCTAGCTAGCTGCAGTTAAATGGGGTTGAGCTGCTCATGAGCGTCTTCGAAATTCATTGTCTGCTGTCATGAATAAACCAGCTAACTGGCAGAATATTCTGCCAACAAAAGGGAATTAAAAGATGGAAATAGGACACCATCTTACCTCGTCAGCCAAGTGATGCCATGTTATAGAGGAAAGAAATGACGATCCCAGCTTTGTATGAAGATTTCAAACAGCAATATTAAACACTAACCATGCTTTTTTTTTGTTGACACCAGAAGCGGATAGGAAAAATTAACTCTACGGTTTTCTTGGCCAGAATTATCTCTGTATGTTATAATAAATAATATTATTTCAGTATATTGCACTGATGAGCTCTCTTTGCTGGGATGCCACTGTGTGCTGAAGGCAGGGCTTTGTCTTGTAACACTTGTATTGTAATTTGTATTTTAAGCTACGTTAGCGGCTTGATCCAGAATAAAGTATCTCAACAACCATTGAAGGACTGCACTGAAATCCTGTACAAACATTCATGGTATAAAGGCTAAGGAATTTGGTCATCCCCTGACTTTTCATCTAGCGCCACCATGAGGTTGGCTTTTCTTTGATATTTAGTAAATTTGTTAACGGGCTGTATGTAGTTTTTCAATGAAATTACTTATTAATACATCAAATTGTCACTGCCTTGTTGTCAGTGGGCTCAGACCTCACTAAACAAATGAAGCGCACGCTTGTTTTCTCTGTTGCTTTCATCAGCCACTATTCTGCTTTTAATGTGAGGACACTGGGTCAGAGCAGTTCTGTGCGCACTCCTGAGCCTCTCTCAGACTACAGCAACAACACAAGAGCAAATGAAATACAATTCAATAACAACACAAAACAACAGGCTCCCAGGACAACACACACTCCATGTAAGGATAAAAAACACAATAACAACAGTTTTATGTGCTGAGGCCCATCAGACCAAACGAGATTCAGACCATGTTGAGTAAAAACACAGTGAACATCAGAAAGGCTGGAGAAACACAGACAGTCACGTTAGGGCGGCAGTTAACGCTGAGCAGTTGCTAATGTTATCCAGTGCAAAGTTGTATCGCTTTCCACAATACTTCACCAACTAATGCGACCCATATTACTATCCTGGGTACCACCGTTATGATGTCAAAGTGTTGACAGGATGGGGCAGCCAGCTAACGCTAATTAGCTCAGACCTGTCGCTGTTTGTTCACTAACGTTGCAGTAAAGTTACTTACCGCAGTCTAACTGTTATAAGTGTAGCAACAATCTCACTTATAATATTCAGTCCAGCTCACAACCGTTTCGTTACATTAAGTGTGTTCACATTGCTGAGCCTCTAGTGAAAGATACACAGATAGCAATGTCAGTTACTGAAAAGCCCCGCGACCCTGTACGCAGGATAAGCGGCTGACGATGGATGGAGTTACTAAAAAGCAGACACGTGCGCTAAAGCCCTGGATTTACTTGCTTATAACTATGCCTTTGCGTACACAAGATGGCTGCCACACCTATCCTGTGTTCCTTTGGAGCATAGGTTTTACACGTCTCCAGAAATTAATGCTACGCGTCTGCGAGATATGATTTTGCACATGAACGTGGGGGCAGTATGTTGATCTGACCAGCAGGTCAGCAGCACTCTACTGTTCCACACACCAGCCCAGGTGGTGGCAGTATGCAGTTGGTTTGCCAACCGTCATTAAACGCAAAAGAATAAGAAAGTCAGCAGTAGACTTTAAAAAAGGAGATTTATGGCGGATGTTTACAGGAAAACTCCTGGAGCTAGTCCGCAATTATCGAGGTCGTTATGATGTCTCAATGTGTTTGGTTCGTTTACAATGTGCAAATTCAGAGGTTGTCAAGGAAGATAATCCAGTGTCGGCGAGGGATGATCCAGTCCTGGTCTGCCCCCTAGTGGATTCAGGTTTAATCCTCCAGGTACACGCAAAGTACGCAGGCAAGTATGAACAATGCTGTTTGCGTTGCTGACGCCTATCTACGCTTACACTTTGTTAAAAAGCAAGTATATCCAGGGGTTAACGCTGATGCAGCATGTCAGCTAAATGCAGTAAATGTAACGTTATCATGTAATGGTCATGGATTAGTTCAACCTCAAGCTGATAAAAATATTACTGTAACGTTGCAGTGGGAGTTCACCTGAGTTTCCAGCATGTTGTGTGAAGCTGTTTCCGTGTCTGTCTATAGCCTCTCTCACACAGTATTTTTTTCTGGGAGTACTGAGCGGCTCGCTGCGCTGTATTAAAGGTACGGAGCCGGGAATGTTAAAATAACAGAGCCTGAAAAGCCACAGCCTACATGCCGGTGTTTCTGCGTTTATTGCAGGATCTCTGTATGATAGCGGTTGTGTTTCAGATTATGCTCGCTCGTTGCAATCTTAGAACCGCACCGCTTTTCCTGTAGCGACATCATCAGGTCAAAATATGACCAATATGTCCTAATACTTTCTGACCAAATACCTGCAAAACTAATGACATTCCTATACTCGTACTTTGTGTTTAGTGCTGAATCTTGCTAGCAACACAGCATATAGTTATGCCGGTTATCAAGCATATGAATATCAGGGAAATCAGAGTTGAAAGTGAAATCCTCCATATAAACACAGTCAACATAAACATGAAGGAAGAGGATAAAAAAAATAAAATACAGACTGAGAATTCTGATACAAATGGAAAGAATGTCGTGAATTTTATACATGAAGAAATGGAGAAAAGAGGAGCAAAGGGGAAACTTGCAGAGGTCAGCTGCTTGTTCGCAGCAGGGACTAGCAAGGAGGTGGGGGGGGGGATTAGAGGGGAGCAAGCAGTAGTGAGGTTCACTTGTAGGTGACATCCACACCTGTCATGTCGCACACCGCAGGGAGTCGAGAGGTCACTAGACGGATGGGGGCAGACGTAGTGACATCTACACCTGTCATGTCTGCGCCTTAAGAGGTCACCGCTAAGAGTTTAAGACAGAGAGTGAGAGCGCATGAAGAAGAGAGGAAGTGAGCGAGCATTGGGGGGTGTGGGTGGCAAAGGGTCAGGTAGCGGTAAGATGACATCTAAACCTGTCATGTCAAGCTCCTCACAGTTTCAAGCGGTCACCAGACAAAGACAGAGACAGAGGTAGATGTGGAAAAGCTGAAAGCCGTGAGGCGACATCTCCAGCTGTCATGTTTGAACTTGAACTGGGGTCAAGAGATCGCTGTTTTAACCAAAGAGAGGGAACGAGGGATGGAGGTAGAGGGAGAGAGGACAGCTGTAAGTCATACCAACAGAAGGACTCAAGTGAATAACAAGAGTTAGCGGTGTGACAGACAGGCCGTAGACTTCTCTTTGGTTTTTGGCAGAAGACAGGAAAGATGGACGGAAGCCACACTCCATTTCACTAAGCAGGTGTTGGTGGCTCAGTTACATCTGAATCCAAAATTCAGTTAAAATGACAATATGCAGAACACTATTTTGAGAATGGTTGTACTCAGCTCTCTCCTATGTGTGATTCCTGACATGTTTGTCACCTGTCAGCTCATATCAACACTGACGTCAGAACGTATGAACGTCAACCAGTTCTCTTCAAGTACTTATTCAATAGCAATAGTCGTTTATTATTTATTAAGCGACGGGGATACTTACCCGGATATATGTTGTTTCGTGCAACTCATTGTTTTCCAGAATCTCTACAACTGTGGTGGTGAGTGCAAAGTTAGCACAAATCAAAAAGCCACAAAGGCACATCTGTGGGAAATACCCCAGGTTGAAATATACTGGAATTTTAGATTTAAGTATTAAAAGTTAAAATGCTCAATGCATAAAATGGCCCCTGTGACTCTGTGAATAGTATTTATCATATGACCGGTTATTATTCCTGATGCATAAATGTGTAAACATCGTTCTACTGTTGTAGTTTGCTGAGGAAGAGTTAATTTGAACTACTTTATATTCTGTTGGATAGTTTAATCTCTAAAAATGCATCTTATTTTAGTCATTATTTGTATTTAAAATCTTAGTTTGTAAAGGAACTAGTAACTACAGTAAAATGTAGTGGAGAGAAATGTACAGTATTTCCCACTGAAATGTAGTGTAGTAGAAGAATCAAGTAGCATGAAGTAAAATACTCAAGTAAGGTACCAGCAGGGTGGAAATTAACTTTTTGGCTCACCTGCCAATGGGACTGGTAGATGAAAAAAATCTTCAGGCCAAATATATTTTTTACTGGCCAAAATAATAAATTGCCTTTTTATGTCACGTAAACATTTGTTTCAGTACTTTTAATTGAGATAATAAGGTATTCTGTCGAATACAAACTTAAAGAAGACACCAGATTGAAATTTGAAGCAAAGTAATTTATTGCTAATAAATGTAAGACATAACAGTAAATTGTTTTATAAACTTACAAGATGCTTATTAATCAATCATTCAACTTAAATCTTATCACTGCTCACTCTTAATTATGCTTTATCATTCAGCTTAAACCTCCTCATTAATTAGTTTTTTTCTTCTTTTTTGTTTTCGCCTCATTTGTGCCTCCACACTATATTCATTAAACTTTCATATACAGTGTATCAAAACTATAGGCCTAATATTAATTCTGGGTTGTTTTCATTTATTAAATCCTAAGAAAAACAGTCTACATTGGTCTGTAATTTATTAATGCTAATTACTAACAAAAAAATCATAACCATTCATGCACAAAAATAACTGTTAGGTTGTAGTTTTTACTCGCTTTACTAATTCCATTTTTTCTGGTTCACACATATCTCTTTTACGGGCAAATGCATGTGAAATATACTCTATTTAGCAATGCATCATCCGTCCTGAACCCGTCGCGCTACTTTTCTTCTTCTTCTTGTTTATTTGTGGATGCTGTATACTTCCCTTCACTGTTACAGAGCTGTTCTACATGCTGCCACTGGCTTTAACGGTGGGGCACGTAGCAAACAGCGGGCAAAATAAACGGGAGATTTACTGGGAAATATTTTAAAGGGAGGACACCAGGAGAGAAAGGTAAAATATGGGAGAAGCCCCGGGAAAACGGGAGGGTTGACAGGTATGCACGTTACGGTGGTAGCTAGCTCGCTAAATGCTAAAAACACTCCAGGTACTCCGAGCACGACTTGACTACTCCCGACTCCAATCCTCTAACACCCACCCCCTTACATATCTATGACACACTAAACACACAGACACACGGCTGATCTGCCGTTTGGTACATTTAAAAACCTATCATATGGGGAAATCATACCAAATACGTTTACACACCAATGTGGTGGGTAGCCCGCCAACATTTAGCCACCAAACGGAAAACCTACCCACATTTGGCGCTTGGCGGGTGTTAATTTCCAGCCCTGGGTACCAGTACCTCAAAAAAGTACTTGGTTACATTCCACCACTGTAAATAATGTGTACACTTCAGCAGAATAAAAGCATTTCAGTGTGTACGACCAGGCATCGCTCACCAGACGGCTAGTTGAAGTGTTAACTGTGGCTCCTGCTGCCATTGAAAACACTATAAACACTTTAGTTGTGGCTTTCACAGATCGAGTTCTGCAGAACGGTTCACATTTGGTAAGACGTCTGTCATGTGTGTTTTATCATAAGACGAATGGCCTCCGTGGTGTAATAGGAAATGTAGATCCTCAGCACCTGCCAAGCTGCGTCTCCACGTGTAAAACAGAAGAAATTAGATATTGAGTTTGATTTTACACAAATTGAGAATGAAAAACCTTTTAGAATCTCATTTCCTTTCTTCCCTGTAAAACAGCAAGATTTAAAAGTTACCTCACTCTACTCCCACATTAACATTATACTGAATTCAGAAGGTTCATGTAGTCCCTCACCTTTTGCCCAATGATATGAATCTACCTTTCATCCAGCTTTGAATGACCTCTTATTGGTGTAAAGGCCAGGCCCTTTATCGTGTTTCAAAAAGGAAAACACGTCACATTAAAGAAAGATGCACTCCAAGTGCTGTTTTGGTGTGACTTTCTCACAGAGACCGTAAACGGCCTTCCCCGATTCCCCAGCCTCCATCAACACCGTCATCTGAATATCACATAGATACACGGCACACATTCTGGCCAGTCCCAGGGCGCCTTTGTATGAAGAATATGTAGTCCTTTTAGAGTATAGAGTGGGGTTGTTTAAATATTAAAATATGATGATTCATAGTTAAATTTGAACATCAGAATGACTTTGCTCAATAAAGAACAGACAGAATTTGTAGAGACTGATTTTCTTGTGTGATGGCACATGAGCGTGGAGGGCTGAAGTGTCTTACCCCTGAGTGTCTGACTTAAATGTCCCTCTTGATGCCTGCAGTGCTGAGGTGACAGCTCTGTGATAAACACTGATGTCAGATGACTGATCTCCACTTGGCCCCTCTGATTTTGGCAAACAGTCTTTTGGAAGACATTGTGACAGTCACCGCTTACTGCTTATGTTACATTACAGACTATTTTACCCGCTCCCTTCATTATCATACTTGTTTGTCTTTGTCCTCTCCTCCTCTCTCCCCTCCTGCCTCTCTTCCCCATCTCCCTCTACCCACCCCCCATTCCTCATCCTCCCCCTCTGTCTCTTGATCTCTCCGAGGCTCCTGCCAGCATCCTCTCTGTGGGAGTGCTACGCCTTAACACTGGCCCTTCTTCATTACACCAAACAGTTTGATCAATTATTCTATTAACTTTACTCTCTTTTTCTTTCTTTCTTTCCCTCTCCCTCTCTCATCTGTCTCATGTCTGCTTTCAGAGGCCTTGGCGGCGTGCTATCCCTGGGACTGCTATGTCTTCGCCCTGGCGGTTTTCGTGACGCTGACCAATCAGATACATAAGTGGAGCCACTCCTACTTCGGCCTCCCGCGCTGGGTCACGCTGCTCCAGGACTGGCATCTGGTGTTGCCACGGAAACACCACCGCATCCACCATGTCTCGCCGCACGAGACATATTACTGCATTACTACAGGTAAGAGCTGGTGTCATCAGTAAATAGTGCTCCCACTACTGTCAGACAAATACGGTAAATGTGTTTTTACATACTAGAGCTGTTACTTAACTATACTGAACAAAATTATAAACGCAACACTTTTTTGCTCCCATTCGTCATAAGCTGAACTCAAAGATCTGAGACTTTCTCTATGTACACAAAAGGCCTATTTCTCTCAAATATTGCTCACAAATCCGTGTTAGTGAGCACTTCTCCTATGCTGAGATAATCCATCCACCTCACAGGTGTGCCATATCAAGATGCTGAGCAGAGAGCATGGGTATTGCACAGGTGTGCCTTAGGTTGGCCACAATAAAAGGCCACTCTATTTTTAGAATATGCTGCTCAGCTTTGAATTACTTTTAAATTGATGTAGAAAAAATGTGCTGTCTAATGTTAGTTCAACTCTCTACCCATGTTTCATTTAGTTAGCATGCAACTTTATCATAGATGAACAAATCATACCAGCAGTTTTAGATAAATGTGTTGGCTGGATAACATTTAATATCATTTAACCTTGATAACAACAGCTGCATTAGTTAAGCCACGATTGAAGGACAGGGCCAAGATTCTATTTACAGTACACTTTTCAAACATAATGTAATCCAACCCCATGTGCTTTCAAGTTGCTAAGAATCATTTTACCATCAATGCTGTTTATATATGAGAGGGAAGCGTTAACGTTTCTGTCAGGATATGGAGAACAGATCAAAGATATTTGATTAAAATGAATCTATGACCAGATAACACCCCCCCCACCACCACCACCTAAGAAAAAACGAACCAATGTTCTGTTCAGAGCATTGAGACACTGAAGGACAGGATGTGTATCACTTTTCAACACTATCAAATGTTTATCAGTGTGTATGTTGTGGGCGGACATTTTAGATCGCCATAATAGAAGCTGATGACTCCAAAATTATTTCACTTACAATTCTCTGCAGATTGGGACAAAATGGCGGCCGTGGTGTCTGTCTGTCTGTCTCTTATAAATAACTAAGTGAAAATGTTGTGTTTGCGTGCGTGTGTGTCTTTAGAGACACGAGGCCTCCGTAACACATCCGCATTCGGTATTCTGTGTGCATCTGGGTGAGAGGGAGGGAGAGAAAACACAAGGGGGATTCAGTTTGTACGTCACCCTGTGCCCCTGCGGACGACAGATGTGTGTGTGAGCAAGTTGAGGGGGGTGGCACAGGGAAAGTGTGTGTGTTTGTGCACCCGCACACACACGTGTACATCTGCATACTCGAGCATCTGTGTGTATACTAGTCTTTTTGACCTCCTCTTCGGTTTCAAACCTGTGTGTGTGTGTGTGTGTGTGTGTGGTGGGTGGTGGGTTGGTGGCGGTCGGGGCCCACATGGGACGGCGGCGGCCCCCCGCTCCCCCAGCCTGGCTGCCTGGGCCGGGCTTGGATTCCACTGGGGCTCGCCTAGCTGCCTTTGTGTTCGCCACCGGCTGACAATCCCCATGTATATTTAATGCTAACCTGCTGTCTGTTCTAACAAATAGGACTTCACAGGCAGAGGGGGGATGGAGGACAGGGGAGAGAGGGAGGAGAGTGAGCGGAAGGGCGAGGAGAGGGTGGGTAGGAAGCAGGGATTTGGAGCAACAAAAACAAAAGGAGGAACGGGTGGCGAAAGAAGGAGAAATGGAGTGAGAGAGAAGAGGAAGAAAGAGTGATGGAGGGAAAGAAAGAGTGAAATCAAACAAAAATCTCTGGCTGCTTTACTGTCTTCCAGCAGAGAGACTGTCACTGGAGGGACACACACACACACACACACATATATCCCCGCAGCTATAGCATGCACCCTATGCAAACACATCATGGGTGGTAGTGTGTGAGCATCAGACAAGGCTAGCCTAAGTACATACAGCCCATGTGGATGTCTCTATTTGCTTCTTGCCAGTGTGTGTGTATGTGTGTGTGTGTGTGTGTGCACGCGCTTGTACATCTGTCATCTCTTTTATTTCTGCAGTTGTGTGCTCGTGTTATTGACTGTGTCGACTTAAAAAGCAAAACTGCATTTGTGCAAGTGCTTAACTCTACATACAGATTGTGTGTATGCATGTCTTTGGTTATGATAGAAAACAGACATTGTGTGCGTGTCTGAGATGCATGTATGTACAGAGACTATTGTACAGTCATGCATGTACATGTAAATGTACTTTGGCCTACAGCCATACATACATTAATGTATTTTTCCTAAACATACAGTAGGTTCATAACTATTTAAGTTCTGTAAAGTGTAAAAGAACGAAGAATCTGAAAATGTATGTGTGTGAGAGAAAGTGCCCGTGTGTCTCTGTGAGTTAGTAGGGGCTAAGGACATCTGCTGGGAGAATCCCCTCTGAAATCTCGTCTGTATATGATGATGAGAGTGAGACAGGAGGATAGAAGAACTGGGGATAAAGGAGGGAATAAAAAGAGAACAGTAGAGGGTGAAGGAAGTTGAGGTGAAATCTGAGGTGAAGCATAGAGATGAAAAAGTAAGAGACACTAGGAGATCCCAGATGAGGGAAAAAGAGAGGAGGGGAAGGAATGCAGGTTGGAGAGGCTGGAGAAAGGATGTTTGTAAACAGGTCAATAAGAGCCGGTGTTCGCCCTGTGGGTGCTGCTGGAGCAGTGGGCGGGGCCACAGACCAAACAAATATCTAAATACAGTAGCAAAATCCCTCCAGGGCTCTGAGACTATGGACTGATCTGTCTAAAACGCTTAGGCTTGTACATCATTGTCATCCTTCAGGTCATTCCATAACTGCCACCCAGTGTGACCGAATGTTTGGCTGACAGCGCTGTCGGCAGCCCGACTGGAGAGGCGCTCCGTGGTATGCTAGGAATTTTATTACTGGGCAGGAGAGTGAATTATATATTTTTCATATATAGGTAAGGTGTATTGAATAAAATAGATCAGTAGTAACTAACCAGTGTTTATAAAAACTAAAAATATATAAATAGGGAAAAGCATGAACTAGTAAACCACAAGCACATGAATCGTAAAGACGATCCCCTGACATATGTTTGGTGTTATAATGGGTTTACATAAAATGTTTCTGAAGAATTTGGTGATCCCCTGACCTTATAACTAGTGCCAACACCAGGTTTCATTTTGTCAGTTACTTTGGTTTATGACCAAACACCTGCAAAACAAATGACATTCACATCAGCCCTCAGCTGTACTTTGTATTAAGTGCTAATTAGCTGATGTTAGCATGTTAAAACATTAAACTAAGATGCATGCATCATGCAAACATGGTGAAGATTACCTGCTCAACATCCGGATGTTAGCATGCCAGTGTTAGCTTTCAGCTCAAAGGACCACTGTGCACCGTGTAGCAGCAACAGCCTCACAAAGCCACTAGCAGGGATGTAAACTCTTAAGCCTTGTTGGCTTTATCTGCATTTAGAAGCAATAATGCTTGCAATCTCTTAATCTTTCCAAAGTTTGTTCCTTTCAAATCCTATGTCACTTTTTGACTAATCTTTTCCTCCTTTTTCCACCTTCCTGACTCTCTTCTTCCACTTTCTCTGCCCCATTTTCTGTCTCTTTTGCCATGTTTCCTCACGACCTAGGTTGGTGTAACTATCCGCTGGACCAGCTGGGCTTTTGGAGACGGATGGAGCAATTGATCCAACAACTCACAGGGCAGAAACCGCGATCAGATGACATGGCGTGGGCCAAGAAAACCGACAGATAAACACAAAAAGGAGGGATGGATGGACGGTCGGGCCTGCAGATGCAAAAACATAGAAGAAAGAGATGGATGGGGAAAAACACATACACACATTTTACTCATGTATCTGCGCTTCTTGCTATAATACTAAAGAGCAAACATTTAAAGAATCTGTGTTTGCAAAAAAAAAAAAATCAAAGATGGTTCGAATGATTTCTGTATGTGCTGGAGTCTGTAGTTTAACAAGCTTTGAACGTAGGAGGACTACAAGCTGATTGGCTGTTACTCTGCTGTAACAGCCAATTGGCTTGTGGTCCTGTCTATCAAATAAGGTGTTGTGGTGTGTGGGAAGTTTCTGGAGGTTGGGCTCTCCAGGAGTGACACCATGCTGTCTGTTGAAGGCAGCTTCTTACACCACACATACACATGTACACACACAAACACACGCAAGCGCATAAACACACCTGTTTGCACACAAACTCAAACATGTTTGTTCAAACATGTTCAGTGTCTCCACTGACTTCTTCTTGTCTGTTGTATTAGGGTTGTTTGGCTCATACTAGAAACATCACCACCCTGATGGATGTTTTTACACACAAGAAGGTGAAAATCTCATGACTGTGTGCTTAAAAACTGTGTGATTAAAAATGTAGACAGTTAACTTCACCTCTTTAGTGCATGTGCTCGAGGTAAGATGATCTGAAGATGATTTGAGGTCCGTACATACAAGCAAAGCCATGTTTTCCAGTTTTGGTTGATTCTGAATCAATGATAAAAGCATTTTCTGTTCATCCTATATGTGCTTTGACAAACTGTAGAACTTTTCTTGCGCAGACATTTCTCATGGAAATTTGGTACAGAAGACACTTGCAGCAGCTTTGGGAATACACCTCTGTGTATACAAAAGCTTCTAAATGAACGTATTTACTGCACAAAACAAATCATCTGTAAGCCATTATGATGACTTCTAATTAGATTAGAACCTATATTTCACTTGAATCCAGATTAGTTTAGAATTTTTAGCACATCTGTTCAGCTAGCTGTAGTAAAGCATTTCATCTTTTTTCGCTTTCATGCACATGAAAGAGGCAGCCAGACTTTCTCGTTGTCTCTTCATATATTACATTTTCCACTAAAAAACAAATCAACAGTGTGGTCAGATTTTGACTGTCTTGACAGACAGAGAAAAGACACAACTGAACTGAAAATGGTGGTTTAGCAAGTTATAGTAGGTGTAAAGCAGGTTACAAATGCAAAGGTGAATGTGTTTACACTTACAGGAATACGTTTAGGGAAATACACTCACTCCTTTACTTGGCAAGACTGAGATAAAAAGATGAATTTTACGGCGTAATGCATTCACTTATAATAAATATATATTGTCCTGTTTTTTTTGTATTAACAAAATTATTATCTCAGAATTCTGAGAAAAGTATTCATGGGAGGGGGGCTGCTGCTGATCAGCCTGACCCTCCAGCACTGCTATATGAGTACCGATAAATATAAATACAGGGTATTAGTTACATGTTACATGCCAAATTATGTCAGCTAACTGGCTGCTTGACCACGTGTAACATGAGAGAGCAAACCAAATGAGATGTCTCGTTAATGCATTTTTTTTTTTTTCCCATGAAAACGTTTCTCAGCATTCTGAGATAATAATGTCATTAATTCAGACAAAGAGGGCAAACATTCTTTTCTCAAGTGAATGCATTATTATGCTTCCATAGTATACCACTCTCACAGAAGCCTAGGACTGGGGGGAGTGAGGAGACTGAGTATGCAGGAGGGCCCACAAAGATACTAGAATGAATTGCTATTGATGCAGGTAGGGATCCATAGAGAGAGTCTATGTACAGGGTCCACACTGTTGTGCTCTACCCCTGCACTCTCATGTAAGGATGATACATTTGTGGCTGTAGCATTCACTGACTAGCTAGGTTAGCATTTCTTATTATAACTGGAAACGATGGGAAATAGCTAGCCTAGCTCTGTCCAAACATAACAAAATACACATACCAGCACCACTAGCTGTTTTTCCATATTTCCAGTCTTTGTGCTAAGCTAAGTTAATCGGCCGCTGGTGGTAGCTTCATATGTAGCTAAAGACATGGAGGACCTCTGGCATTGAGTTTGGATGGCAGGTTGATGTTTTATAATATATATCTATCTCAAGTTTACACGTACACACACACACATATATATATATATATATATAATGTGTGTGTGTGTGTGTAAACTTGAGGTTCTTTCTTACATTTTAGCATAAAAGACAGAAGCAGAACTTCCTGGGCATCAGTGGTTTCTCCTTACTGTACTTGTGTCATGTCTGCAGACAGAAATGTATCCAGCAGAAGTTCAGTTTCTTGGAGGATGCTTGTGGCTGCCCTAAAGGCCATAAAATGAGTTCTACGTGTGAAGTTTGCATTTTCACCATCACACTGGACAGCTCAGGGCACGAAAGCTTGGTTGAGTTGGTTAGTGCCTCCAAGAGCTGCTTCTTGTCACTTCCTGCATCACTGGGAATTTAAATTCAGTTTTTTGTCAGCCCAGGACAACCAGACCACTTCCTAAAGCACTTCCCAATCATTTAAATTGTACTGCTCTGATTAAGGAAAGTTTGAAAAATGTTTTTTCATCAACAACCGTTCTATACCACAAATAAATCTTTGCAGTCTTTTATAAACAGTTGCAGTCATTCAAACCATTTTAGAAATCCTGATCCATTGCTGTGTTCACATCCAAAATCCTACCGTAAAAAAGACAAAGAAATCCCATCAGCAGTTTTGCAAGATGCTAATTGTTGGCGCTGTCTATTCCACTGTGCTGCTTTGGCTGCAACTGTAAATACTAAACCATACCAAGAAGGGATCACAAACCTTTAAACCTAAATCAGAGAGATTCACACATTCAAACTGAATTTCTGTTGCACTAGCAAACTACTAGCAAGTTGCTTATAGAATGCAAATAATGTCTCCAGTATCAGATTTTTGCTTACATTAATACGGTGACACATGCACTTTAGTTGGCTGTTAATAACTCTGTACTAAAGAGTCTAGTTGCTTGACGTCGTAGTTTCTTTCAAGGCTGGAAATCTCTTCAGTCACCGAAAATCAATAACAGCACTTTCATGTTTTACTGGGTTAATGTCTGAAAATGTGTCCTGCAAGCAACTGTTGACTCATGATAACACACACACAGATAAAGTCACACATCTCATTTGCATGCACACACACACATAACAAAACTCTTGAATGCTGTCACACTGTACACCAACACACAGGCTCTTTCTGACATTGTGTTCTGTTGTTTTCTCCGGCTTTATAATGTTCTATTTTTTTATTAACGGATCAAGCCTTGTAGAGTTCAGTTTTGACGTTCCATTTTGCAGCTCAACGCTCGCTGCTCGTCTTGCCTTAATGTTTTTATCTGCTCTTTGATTTAAATAAAGGTTTATTAAATCCAAATGGTCACTCAGTATGGTCATCTTTAATATAAAAAACATTTGTTTGGAGATGTCTAATTTATGCAGAATGTGAGCTGCACTGCTCTGAGGACTGAAGGGGCTGTATAAGTATCATTTCAACGCTGTTTCAAAGACTTGACCTTTAGCTTTAGTGCATTAGTCCAAGAGGCCTGTCAATCTCCGAATATGTGGTAAACAAAATACAAAGGAAAAAACTAAATGAGAACAGAAAATGGGGACATATGGGTAAAGGATGTGCACTCATCATTAATCTTAAAGCATGTTTCTGTGTCAGGGTTAATGCTGTTCCCTGGCTCAAAAGTTTAATTTGTGAGAATTTCTACACACTAGTTAAAAGCCACTGCTGAACCACCAGCACCCTCTAGTGTAAGTTGAAGTTTCTACTCCGGTTTACCTTATTCCTTTCAGAAATAGATGGATAGCTGGATGGATGGATAGGATGATGTAGTGTGGAGTCCTCAGCAGAGGTCAGAAGGTCACCATGTTCTCCTCTAGATCCCTGCCATCTAACTTCCCAGATTGGATCAATGAGTCTCACTCTCCAGATCTACCTCCCCAGAAAGCAGATCCCCCTGCTGCAGCTGCCCCTCTGGACCCTGCTGAGAGCCGGAGGCAAGACCAGTGCTGGTGAGGAGGAAAGGGAAGGTAATTAGAAAGGAGAGGAGACAAGGACAGGGGAGGTGAAACAAGGAATTATTACAGTATCAAATTAATATTTAATAAGTTTGTCAATATTTTTATTTCCTGGTGTGTAAATATAACCAGCATTACTACTGCCTGCTACTGGACAGAGTGTGAAGCAGTATTTTTAGTTGTTGGTTGTTATTTCGTTTTAAGTGTTTACCACAGTGTAAGAGCTGGTTCAGTTTCAAAGCGTATGCTTCCCTGCTGCCTTGAAAGTGTGAGGTTGAATAATTTGTTATGAGTCAAATTAACTGAACTTTAAAAAAAAAACAACAACAGATCAATACACTTAAAGTATTAAGTTAATCACACTGACAAATATTGCAGTTCTGCAGTCTTCTGTTTGAAGAGTCAGTTCTGCGTTTGACATGAAGAACTCACAGCTGCAGCTGCTCCTGTTGGAGAGTCTTTGTACCAGGACATTTTAGGTACTCCTTGATACAGAAAGTCACTTCTGTGGTTATTCTAACAATAGATACATTTGTGGTGTCTGACTGTCACCACACACTGAAGAAGTTGTAATGTGGAGATAATCTTTTCATAAGGGGAAAAAAATAATTTCAGTTAAAGACTATTAGGACTTTCTGTACATTTGATGACACGTTTTGGGGTTGTTAATTTGTTGAAAGTATAACAATTGACTGTGGCAGATCACACATACAAACACAGACGGTGTCTGTCGTACCTGAGTGTGAAACGTACACACACACACACACGCACACAACGGAGGATATGACATGTTGCAGAACTCTCGCAGATCTCACATGTCTTCATATAGCTCACAGTAAGAGCTCCTTTGTCATTCCCACATTACTGCCACCTTTTCTACTGTAACACCCAGCACTAACAAGACACACATGTAGCTAGCCTTCCTCTCATACATACATACATACATACATACATACACACACTCACACACACTCACACATACATTTGCTCTCTCTCTCTGCATGGTGGTGACATATTGGATCTCACTATGCTGATGTGCTTGGCTGATCAGTGTCTCACGCTGGTAGCTATTAAAGTTTCTATCAGACATACTGAGATCAGGGCTTGATGGCAACACTTGCAGCGGGGACATGAATGTGCAGCTTTTAAGTTGATACTTAGTTATATTATAAAAGTTATAGTTTTTACCAAGCAGCGGCTTTATATAGCAGTGCATATTGTGATCATTATTGTCATAAAAATGTCCATCTCACAGTTCATTATGTGTCACACTTGGTATTGAAATTATACTTTCATAAATTCATGTCTTCAATCAATCCTTTGTGCGGAGATGCAGGAGGGGATCTACTTTTTGTTGCTTCATAGATTTCCAGAAGGCTTTTGATAGTGTAAATGATCATCTTAGCTTCAAACTACAGAAATCTGGTACTAATGGGAAATTTTATAAAGCTGTGAAAACTATCGATCAAGCCCCACTTACATGTGGGCAAAGTAATAACTAGAGAACAGGTTGGTGTCCAACCTCTTCTGGTGTGAAACAAGGGGATGTGCTCTCCTCTACACTATTTACACTATATGAATGACTTAATAGTAAATTAAGCAAGCAGATATTGAGGTCCGACTCTCTGACTTTCCAGCTGGTACTTGCAGATGATGCAGCTCTTACGGCAGAGACTGAATTTTGAATGGTAAATAGTGTACGTTACTGGTATAGTAAATTATAATGAAGATAAAACTCAGATCATGAGTTTCTCACAAAAGTAAGTTTGTGTTTCATTTTGGATTATACCCAGAATTACAAATATTTTGGTTTTTATCTTAGATCATATTACTTTTCATGCATAAAATGTCCCAAAACTCAATACAAGGTCACATGGGATAGGAGCCATGTAAAGTAGGCAAACGGGTGACATGCTTAGACAATGTATGTGTAGTGTTGTGTGTTTATAAGTTTATATCTGATATAATGTGTTTGAAACATGTACTGTAGACAGTACCATGTATTGGCTTGCTTTCTTTTTGTTTGCCTCTGAAGGTAATGAAAGTAGTTTCTTGTAAGACCATGTGGGCTGTTTGTGACACTTGAATATGAAAATGGGTGAATTAATTCACTTATTCATTCATTTTATATTTTTATAAATGTATAAACTGCTTGAGGCACCGATGTGTCCCTTAGGGTTATAGGATTGAAGTCAGTCACTACCAAACTTGTGGCAATGTGTTAGTAATCAGAATCAGAATCAGAAATACTTTATTGATCCCCGAGGGGAAATTCGTTTGTCGCAATTGCACACTTGTCAAAGGTAGATAGATAAATAGTATAGTATATAAACATATATATATAATAATATAAATATAAAATATAAATTATATTAAATATAAAGGAAATTATGTACAATATTTACATTATTAAGAGTTATTATGGTGAACCAAAAAGGACTAGTGAATAAATAGCAGTGAATATTGCAATATTGCATTTATTATTAAACAGATAATATTGCACAAAAATTGATAATACGGTCCAGTTTAAAAACTAAGTATCTGTGTGTCAGACACTTAGAGGGAGGAGTTCTAGTTTGATGGCCACAGGCAGGAATGACTTCCTGTGGCGCTCTGTGGTGCGTTTTGGGGGAGTGAGTTTTGCACTGAAAGTGCTCCTGTGTTTGAGCAGCACGTCATGGAGTGGGTGAGAGACATTGTCCAAGATGACTTGTGGTCTGGGCAGCATCCTCCTCTCTGACACCACCAACAGAGAGTCCAGCTCCACCCCCACAACGTCACTGTCCTTGCGGATCAGTTTGTTGAGTCTGTTAGAGTCTGCTACCCTCAGTCTGCTGCCCCAGCATGCAACAGCAAACAGGACAGCACTGGCCACCACAGACTCATAAAACATCCTCAGCATCGTCCTGCAGATGTTGAAGGACCTCAGCCTCCTCAGAAAATAGAGATGACTTTAGCCCTTCCTGTAGAGGGCTTGAGTGTTCTTGGCTCAGTCCAGTTCATTCAATTTGCTCTCCCAGGTATTTGTAATCCTTCACAATGTCCACACTGACCCCCTGGATGGAAACAGGGGTCATTTGTGCCTTTGCTCTCCTTAGATCCACAACCAGCTCCTTAGTCTTTGTTGTGTCAACTTCATAAAATGGGATGCCAAAATAATATTCAAAGTTCTGTATGCCATCAAATTACTAAAAACTCTAAACCGTTGTGCCTTTTTCCTTTGCCATTTACTTAGATAAGGTTTAGATTGCAGCAATGACATAGAGGGGCATTCTTCAACCATTTAAAGTAACACAGATTATGGGATTATTGTCATCATATCACATTTGTGTCTTTGCGTGTTTTTCAAAATATTCAGAAGTGTATGTGAAATGCATGTATCTGCACTGGCTCACCAAAGCAGATTGTATCTTTTAGGGTAATTTTAAATGTTGGGATGTTAGGAGAACTTAATTGTGTGAGTTGGCTGTAACATTCATCATTTACACTTCAACAACACAGCAGTTTATCTATTTTTAGACATGTGGAGGACACAAGGTTGACTTGTTTTCACTGTGGATGTGTTCATTTGTATTTGTCATCACTGCTTTAACTCTGCATTTATTAAGGACACTGTGGTGACCCACCAGGTTTGTATACACTGTCTACTTTGCAACTTTGTTTAGGAATATGGGGCTAAACTAAGGATGCCAGGCTGTGTGTGTTAGATTTTCCTTTTTTGGGGGCCACTCAGTGGCAGCAGGTCAGGCTTGAAACACAACTTTTGGCATTTTATCACCTTTCAGTTAATATTGTGAATGTATTAGCAAACACGTGCCTGTATTCAATTGGAGTGGCAAGCTGGAACCTCTGATACGGAATTACTTTAAACCTGCAATTTTGCAGCAGGGGGCGACTCCACTGGTTGCAAAACAAGTCTGGTTACATTAGAAATAATGGTAAAATGGCCCTACTTCTCACCTGATTTATTACCTCAGTAAAAACTTTCCTATTGAGTTTATGATCCCAATCATTAGTTTCAAGTCTTCTTCTACACTATTTTTAGAGGAAAATAGATGATACAGATACATAGATCTACCTTGTGTTTGACAAGTTGCTACCATGACAACCTGTCAATCAACATGTCCACTGCACTGTGTAAAACGCCTTTGAAACGTTTGTTAGGAGTCAGCTGTTTTTTCCGGTTTGTTTTAAGCCTGTTTTTGCTTGTGAAAATCCTGGTTAAAATCACAGTTAGCAAACAAAGGATAAGAGAATTATTTTTAATATAAAATATGATAATTTATTCATTATGATTTAATAAGAATGACAAAGAAATCTTGCTCACTATAAAAATGTTTAATTTTT